TCTCTTTTAAAGTGTAAATCTTTATGAAAATACCGTATTCGGGGGTTGTGGCAATGCTGGCACCATAAACCACCCCTTTATTCTCCTTTTTAGCATGAAAAATATAAAAAATTGCGCGAAGACCCGATTTTTCAGCTGCCCCTTTCCACCTGCTTGGATTTCTGTTCCACTACAACCCAAGCTGCAGTTTGGAGACGTATTCAGAGTCTCTTTCACCGAAGCCCAAGCCTAAGCCTAAGCCTAAGGTTAAGCTAAGCCTGAGCCCAGCCTAAGCCTAAGCCTAAGCATAATCCTCAGCCTATGCCTAAGTCTAGCCCTACAAAAATTGTTATGAAATCCGGCGTGTGCTGGGGAAATCGGCGGATGTTTATTGTCAACCGCCCGGGCCGGCGGAATTGGCTTCAATCTTCGCGGCACGGTTTCTAGCATTGATTTTTCGTTTTTTTGTGCCAAAAACAAAAAGCCTTGTCACGAGCGGGGTCCTTTTGTTGCGAATTGCTACTGAATTTAATTTTAGCTTTTCCTGAGAGAGAGAGAACGAGAGAGAGAGAGAGAGCGATAGGGTGAGAGATAGTTATGAGTAGAGAAGCAGAGGTGAAGGTATGTATGATGAGAGAGAGCGAGAGGGAGAGACTGCGATAGTGTACGAGTGAGAGTGAGAGCGAAAGAGAATTCTTAAGGCTACTATATTCTTCGATATTTTTATTCTCCAGTCGTTCTTATTTTTGTCAGCCTCCCGTCGAGCAGTGATTTTTTTAGGAATTCCTCTCTTGAACCAACCCTTTAACCACTATTCCTCTTGTTCTTCCGAAATATTCCTCCATTCCCCCCTCCTCCGAAAGGCGTCATTTTACGAGACGCAGCCAGGGGGTGAATTGGCATGTGAGACGAAAGAGAGGAGAGCAAAAGGGTCTTGTGGACACCCAAATTGGGCATTGTTAGCGGAGGAGGGGCCTGTGACCCCATAGAGAAAGAAAGAAGGGAGGAAGCAGAGGGCCCATCTTATATAGATCATAGACACGATAAAAACACAGCTGAGACCTTTGAAATGGAGGCTGCTGTACAGTGTCGGAATGTACTGTTTTTTTCGTTGGTTTAACGCCGTCCGTTTCTCGAATGATCTCTACTAACCAGCTTGTTTTGACATAGCCCAGTCAATAACTTGCTCTTGTTCGGTTCATGCTCAGCTCAGCTCTCTCTTGCGCTCTCTCGCGCGCTTTATCTCTCCTTATTCTCTCCCTCTCTCTCTCTCTCTCTCTCTCTCTCGCTCCTCTGTCTCACTGTGTCCGTTTCTCCACATACCTCTTGCTTCTCTTGCACTCTATTCCTAAAGGATCACTACTCCGAGCTTTATCAATGATCACGGCTAGTTGCGTCTCTATGCGTCTCTCTCTCGCTCTCTCCCTCTCTCTCTCGCTCTCTCGCTTGCTGTCCAAAAATGCCCAAATCCACACGGTAATTATCGCATTAATAGTAGATGCTAGGGCAGCATTACGCTCGGAAATTACCCCCCGATTCACTGCGATCTATTCAAGCGCCAAATTGGAGGGGAACAGGAAATAAAGGGGAAGACGGGCATAACAAATACCCCTTTCTCCCTCCATATACACTCGGTTATTCAATTCGGTATCGACTTTTAGAATGTTTTCGGTTTTTGCACTTTCAAAAAAGTGTTTATCTCTGCTTTCATCGATTCCTAAAGTAGCTCTGCTAGCGTACCCTCCATTTCCTCAAAGAATCTCTGCTAGCCTACTCCTCCAATGCCTGAAAAATTCTCTGTTCGGCTGCCGTGAGCCAATTCCCAAAGAAACTCTGTTAGCCTGCCCACGCTTCGTCTATACTTTTGACTTCCACATGCCTTTAATAACCCAATATCCCTATCCGATTCCGGGTATCCCCAAAAGGTTGCCAACCCAGTAATTAACCCCCCAGAGTCCCACATTCCAGAAAAAGCCCCCCTTCCGCCCGACCCAGGGACCTCGCTTTCGAATTAATTTTTTGCGCAATTATTTTCCCGGGTTTTTCTTGTGCCTGGCCGTTGTCGTATTGATGGCAGTCCAGCAGAGATCTTTTGCGGAATTATGAGGCATATGGGGCCATTTTGTTGGGGCCCGTCTGTCATTTGCCGATAGCCACTAGGGCCCACCCTCGCTCTGGGTTTAGTGGAATGTCCTCCTCCTCCTGCCCGCTTCATAAAATTGCCCATCCATGCCGCGCTCCCCCGCCACGGCGCCTGTTTTTGACGAGTTCGCGTGGAGGCGGAGGAGGAGGAGCTATATTAGTCGATTTCATGGAGGCCAGGATGATTCTGGAGTAATAACAACATTTATTGTACAGTTTGATAGAAATTTGGCAAATCTAGACTTGAAAATTGTTCGGCCGGCTCTGCGGAATTATTCTCTCTCTCTCTCTCTCTCTCTCTCTCTCTCTCTTTCACACTTTCGCTCTCGCCTCTCCCCGCTCCTTCCCCTTTCTCTCGCTCTTTTCTGTCTTTCTCTCTCCCTGTCTCTGTTTCTCGCTCTCTCTCCCTCTCCCTCTCTCTCTCTCTCCCATTCCTGAACAACCAATGCTAGACTGCCCTCAGCCTGCAAAACGGCCCTCAAATCCCTTGCATTCTTAAATAATCCTGCTCTCTTTTTTCGCTCAAATTCCCTTCCCCCAGATTCCGCTCAATTCCAAATTACAGGTTCCTTCCCGTCGTGTTCCACGCTGCAGCTGGGCCGAATTTTTCGAAAAAATTTGTTTTGATAGCGGCAAAGGGGAGAGGGAAGGCCGGTGGGTCGTCATGACAATCGGACAGCCATAGCACACAAAGCAGCAATTGATACGGTAGGTCAGTCAATAAATATTGTATGAGTTAAAAAATTCCCGAATCGTTTTAAAGGGACCGGGAGGCCAAAACTATCAATTTTTTCCAGGGGTTTTGGTGAGAAAGAGACGGATTGGGAGGGATGGTTAAAGAGCATGAAGGAAGTGAGAGCGAGAGAGACAATGAGAGAGAAAGAGAGAGACATATTATGAGAGAGAAAGAGTTAGAGAGTCGGATTATGAGAGAGTGACAGAGAGAAAGAGAGAGAGATCATGAGAAAGAGATAGATAGAGAGCGCGACAGAGAGACCGAGGGCCAGAGAGAGAGAGAGCGAGATAGTGAGTGAGATAGTGTGAGATAGATAGTAAACGAGTTTATCCGAGCAACAGTTGAATTCCAAAGTTCCCGGAAAATTCCGAAAAAGTGATTACGATATCAGAATGCCGATTTTAGAATTTTTTAGTTATTTTCAGAGGTATTTGACTAGAATACATGGCAGTCCATTGAGGCATGTGATGCTCGGGGGGATTACCGAGCATCAGGAGGGCGCCTTTCATTTTACCCGAATAATTCCCGAGGACCTTTGTCCCTTTGGGTGCTATTTGCCCCCATTAGGGGAGACCGAGCTGAAACGGACGGCCACATATTACGTACTATCTATTTTTTGAGCCGAATTCGACTAGTTTTTGGATATATTTGAGAGATTATGGATTAAAGGAAACTTTCCCGTTCCTTTAAAAGCTATCGATTCATCGAATAAACTTTACATTTTGACTCTAGCTTGGATTTAGCTTTATTTTAAGCCCCTAGTTTGGCTTGTCGGGATTTTTAGCTGTCGAGATTCCTGGTCTGTCGGTATTCTGCTTGTCAAGGCATTTTGGCTGGGCGGGGGGGGGGCGGGGCTGTCGGTATTCTGATTGTCGGGATTTTGGCTCACCGTGGTTATAAGTGTCGGGATTACGGGTCTCGGGTTGTGCTCTGTCGGTATTCTCTTTGGATTTTAACCTGTCGCCGTTTATACTGCGTATTTTATGTTGCATTTCCGCTGCTGCGATTCTGGTTGTCGGGATTCTGATTGTCGGGTTTTTGACCGTCACCGTGGTTATAAGTGTCGGGATTATGGGTCTCAGGTTGTGATCTGTCGGTATTCTTGGCCGCCGGGATTTTGATCTGTCGGTATTTTTTACTATCGGGATTACGACTGTCGGGATTATGGCTATCACGATTTCGGTGATAGTTATCTCGACGTCTCCCGCGACCTGTACTTTCCACACCAAAGTATAACCCCCCAGCCCCGTCTCCAGCCACCCCATTATTCGGTTTTGCAGCTGTGTGGCCAAGGCCCCCCTGGCCGCGTGGCCAAAGGCGCCACTTATTACCTGTGCTTCTGCCCCCCCTTCTTTTCGGCAACAATTTGTATTCTGCGTGTGAGTCCCCCCTTGGCCCGATAATTGAAATTGATCTGGTGGCCTGGGCCTTTTCCCTTGTGCCGTTGGGCCCTCCCTTCTCTAATTCGGGCCTTCCCCCCTTGCCCTCCTGTCCGCACTACTGTTATATGGGCACCTGCTAGTTGTCGTGTGGCTGCTAAATTGTGCCCTCTCTCTCTCTCTCTGCTCACCTACCGCGTGAGAGAATATAATATGGTCGAAGAAACTGCCGCAGCAGCGACAAGCCGACGCCGTTCCACCAGATTCCAGTAGACACTTTTTTGGGGGAATTTTTGGGGGTTAAGTGGAGCCGTGATTTAGAGATGCACTTTTCTAAACCAAATCCTCAGCCTGAGCCTAGAACTAGGCCTAAGCCTGCCTAACATAAAGGTAGCCTAAGCCCAAGCCTAAGCCGATGCCTATGCATAAGCTAAGCCTAGGCCTAAGCCTAAGCCTAAGCTTAAGCCTAAATCTATGTAAGCTAAGCCGAGTCCTAAAAACAAGTCTAACCCTAAGCGCACCCTCAAATATACCTAACCTTCCTAAGTACAGCCTAGTTCGACGTTCCCACGTGCTCCGTAGGGAGTTTCCCCCCGGAAAGCGCTGGCCATGTAATTTTCTGTGACTTTGGAATTACCTTCCTGGGGCCGATTTTCAGCTTTTAAAAGCGTTAGCATTATTATTTAGAAACCCATTAGCTAAGTAATTACTTTAAAAACCAAAACGGCTGTATATGACCGTCCTGAATACTCCATTTCAGACAAATGTTCCGGAACAATACGGACGGACGGAGCCGCGAGGCGCCGGGGACATCGAGCCCGAAACCCCCTTCAGACCCAGTCACTGATCCGCCATTGCACTGTCGCGTTGTCGTCGTCTATAATGGACATAATGGTAGGTGATATTTCTCTCACTTTCTCACTTTCTCTCTCTCTCTCTCGCTCCATCTGTCTCTCGCTCTCTCTCACTCGCTCTCTCGCCTTTCTGTCATTCTTCTATTCTTAATGCATCAATATCCATCATTTAGAATGGCCCCTCGAACGGCGTCTCGTGTGGAACGAAGTTCTGCCCGAGCTCCAGAATTATGCCTTTCACTCGGGGGTCGACCTCGAGCTCGTTGATACTTTAATTGATACGCAAAAGGTAAATATTTTAGTATGTACTATATATGTGATTTAATACTGTTTCCAATGTTTATTTACGTTTCAAAATTACTTTGATTTCAGATCTCGGCCCAAGTCCACCGGAATACTCTACGCGCCCTCGAGGACCCAAACACCATTGTTGTGGTACGGAATTGTTTAAATGTTCATGGAATCTTCTTTTTGCAGTTGTTAATTGGTGATAAATATGGGGAGGGAGGGCTACCGCTGGAGCTGCGCAAGGAGGAGTTTGACGCAATACGGGAGGCCGTTTTCGAGCATAATCAAGGTATGGGCTTTGGTGCTGGCCTTATAATTAGAGGGACAGCGAGTGAGCGAGAGAGAAAGAGAGAGAGAGCGAGAGAGCGAGAGAAAGAGAGAGAGAGACAGCGATAGAGAGAGATCGTCAATAACAGTGCCTCTTTCAGACGTAAAATACCTGGAGAAATACTACCTCCTCGACCGTACCGTCCAGCCAGAAGTCTATCGATTGAAAGCGGACTTTGATGACCCGAAGGTATAACCGGTTCTATTTCCAAAATTGTTAAGTTTAGATCACCAAAAAACTGCTTGCCGTCATGCAAAAAGGAGCAGAAGTGGTGAGTGAAGATAGAGAGAGAGAGAGAGAGAGAGAGAGAGAGAGAGAGAGAGAGAGAGAGAGAAAATGTTGATCCTTTTTCAAGGCTTTCCACGAGGGTTCGATCAACCAAATCGCCCCGCACCGCCAGCAGCGCTTCTTCTGGTCCTTCCTCCACTCGGTCCTCTACCAAGCCAATCAAATGGAGAAGCACCGCGCGTGCTACGTGCTACGGAAGTTTGATGGTAAGTATGAAGATAAGCCTAAACCTAAGCGTAAGCCTAAGCTAAGCCTTAAGTTAAGCCTAAGCCTAAGACTAAGCCGAAGCGCAATCCTAAGCCATTTTCCAGGCGCCATCCAAGACAAAAACAACGAGCCCTGGGTGGATATCGACGAAGAATCGCTGAAAAAAGTGCAGGGACTGAAAAACGACCTTGCGGCTGAAGTCGAGTCGACCGCGGTACCACCAAATTCCTAGGAAAGAAACATTTTTCTAGTGTCTATCCTTCACCCTACCCACCGAGGGCGGCGAGGTCAAGAACTTCTATGCGGGGCGCGAGGCGGAGAAGTATAGGGACAATTTTTCACGGCAGGTAAGGCCGGAGACTTCGAAGCGAAGCTAGCTTATGGAAATCAAAGCCTAAGCCTGGGCCTAAGCCTAATTCTAAGCCCAACCCCACTTTCCAGCTCCTCGAGCGCTTGAAACAAAGCATCACCCGCTTTGCCCCAGCCCGTCTCCCCTCGTCCTCCTTGGTGTCGATCGCCCTCCGCGAGAATGCCTCTCATGAGCGTCTGCTGCGTGAACGTCTCCAACAAGAGTGGCAATCACGCAAAAGCGTCGACGCTAAACTCGACGAATGCGTCAGAGAGGTGGGTTGAGGCTGTAGATGCTCATCACTTTTATCAGGGTACCGGCGGCGCGTATCTCGTACAAGGGCCAGAGTTGAGTGGGAAGACACGCAGTTTGCTTCATTTATACGAGCTTCTCGATGATCGGCCGTCGTACAGAATCGTACTGTTTGCAGGTGTGCTCCTCCTCCTCTCCTCTCTCCCCCCCCCCCCTCTCTTCTCTCTCTCTCTCTCTCTCTTTCTCTCTCTCTAACTCCCCCCTATCCCCCCCTTCAGGCCTGACTTCTGCCACCTCTTTCGCTCACGAACTCTGGCGTCTGGTGCTGATCTTGGTGTGCCACATGTCCGGCCAAGACCCGAAGCCCTGCTTCTCCCATTTCCGGTGGGTTTCCCCATTGCTCTTGGCCAACTTTCCCCGTCCTCCAGACTTGGCGACATCGTCACTAAACTCCACGAGGTGATCGAACGACTCGACCGGCCCGTCTACCTCTTCCTTGACGATGTGCATCTACTCAAATTTGGGCGCCTGCTCTCCGGGCTGGAACGGAGGCCTAAGAATGTGAGGATGAGTTTCGGCTCCTGGCTAAGAGCGGTTTTCAGGCCCCAAACAACCTCTACCTCTTCATGACCGCGTCGAACGTCTCCAACTTGACGCCAGTGTTTCTGACGGCGCAGACGATAAATTTGGATCCGCCGACGGAGGGTGGGTAGAGAGATAAGGAGAGAGAGAGCGATAGAGAGACAGAGAGCCTCATGACCCAATTTCCAGGTGAAATCGCCGACATTGTGAAACGACGACTTGCAAAACGTGGAAGAAAACTCTCTACAGAGCAGATCGGATCCATCAAACCCTACGTAAGTGTACAATTCACGACCAGGGAACCGAATTCTAACCTTCTAGCTGACGGGCGGTGAGAAGAACCCGGTGGTGGGGCTCATGCTCGTCGAGGAGATTTTATTGAGAGGCAATGGGGTGATGAAGGGCGGAATCGAGGGGCGAATCGAGCGAATCGAAGGTGAACACGGCGCGGCGCCGGTACGTTTTTAGTAAAGCCTTAGTACTAATGGTTAAGGATACCCAAAGCCTAAGCCTAAGCCGAAGCCGAAGCCCCAGCCAACCGAAATCGACCATAACTTCCAGGTCGCCTGCCTCTGTCGATACCTGGGCGCATCCCCCTCTGGGCTGACCCGCTTGGAGTTGTCGGACGTCCTCTCCGCCAACCGCGCCCTCCTCCAAACGATCGGCTCCCCGGTGGCCTTCCCCCATTTCTCCTCGACAGCATCCTCGAGTCTTTAGGTATGGGTTTTTCAGTTTTTGATACCATTAATGCGTTTAAGGTGGCTTGTTGCATACTGTATATGCCGACGGGCGTCTCTTGTACCGCTACAGCCATACGAGCATCGCGAATGTTGTGCGAAATCGGTGGGTTTTTACAGGGGAGAGTTCAGCCTAGGGTAAGCCGGGGCCCAAGCGTAAGCGGCTCTAAGCCAAAGCCTATCTAAGCCTAAGACCTAAGCCTAAGCCTAATAAGCACCTTTCCAGATACCTCTCAACCCCAGCCGACGTAAAATCGGCAAACGGTGACCTGGCCGACGTGTTTGCCGATCTGCTCACAGAGCTGGACGGGATCAGCCCGCGGGCTGCCCTTCAGTACCAAGTCTTTCCCCAATTGCTCAAACGCGACAACGGGTCTATTAATGTGCGCAAGGTGCGCAATTTGTGGCTCCATCTGCTGCATTCTGGAGGTGGGAGAGAGAGAGAGAGAGTGGGAGAGAGAGAGAGAGAGAGAGACAAAGTGATTTGCTTCCTTTCAGGCAGTATGGACGCGCTGAAAGAGTTCGCCCTGTGCCAATTCGACTACCTCGACGCTACGGTACGCTCCTGTGGACTGGCCCATTTGCTGTCAATGTACGAGGCCTGCATACTACAGGTGTTACACCACGATATTCAGGTATGTTATTCTCTATATCTCTCTCTCTCTCTCTCTCCTCTTTCTCCTCCCCTTCTCCCCTCTCCCTCTCTCCCTCTCTTTAAATCGCAAATGTAGGTGCTGTGCGAGCAAGTGCTGCTGCCCGCCTTGGAGACGGTGGTACGGGATAATGAACAATTGGCGGCAGAGGTGATTGGACGATTACGGTATACCAGAGGTAAGTTTATTGTAGGGAGAGAGAGAGAAGAGAGAAGAGAGAGCTAAAGAGAGAGAGAACGATAGAGAGATAACGGCCAAAAACCTCGTTTCCAGCCGAAAACTCTCACTTCTTGAACACGATGGTGGAGCAGGCGATGGCGTGGGTGGATACCTATTCGAAGCAGCCACTCCTCGTCCCGCTTACCTGCTGGATACCACCACCACAGATGAAACAAGTGCTCTCGTTTAAGCTGAAGGTGAGAGAAAGAGAGAGAGAGGGAGAGAGAGAGAGACAAGTCTCTTATTCTATCATCTTCAGGAATGGAAATCAGCCGTGACGATCGTCACCCCAACCGAAAACCACCAGCACCTCTTGATTACGGGAAATTTGGCTCAACCGGGCGTCGTCTGCATGTATCATATCGCTTCTCAAGAATTGGCCACCACATTTAAAGGTATCGTTAAGCTACCGTAGTCTCAAAAGTACCGTACTTTCGTATGTCGCAGGGCGGTAATAACGTAATACCTTAATACGACCATACAGTATCGACGATTCCGTCAATTCCAGGCCACACCGCTACCGTAACCTCCTTAACAACGAGTCGAGACGGCACATTTTTCGTCAGTACCTCCCACGATAAAACCGTCCGGCAGTGGGGCTTTCAGTCGGTAAGCTACGGTGTTTTTCCATGCAGTAGCTTTCCAGAGTGATGCGATACGGGTGTTGAAGCATCACACCGGGAAAGTTATGTGCTCGATACTGAGCAGCGACGATAAGTTGTTGATCACCGGGTCGGCAGACAGCTCGGCAAAGGTATGGCATTTGAGGATTACGGTAATTTGGGCATAGGTGATATCCGTCGAGACCGGGGAGGTGGTGCGTAGTTTCGGAGATCATACGGGAAGTGTCGTTTCGCTGCAGTTGACCAGCAACGATCAGCTACTTATTACGGGTGAGGGGAGATGGTGTATTTGTTGCGCTCTCTCTCTTTCTCGCTCTCTTGAGCACTCTCTCTCCTCTCTCTCTCTCCCTCTCTCTCTCGCTTTCTCTACCAGCGTCTTCTAGGTTCGGGCGACTTTGTCGTCCAAGTATGGGATATGCACTCCGGGCGGTTGGTGAACCGGATGGGCGGGCTGATGGCGCCGGTGACTTGTGTCGCAATCACTAGGTGGGTTACGGTAGAACGGACACGAAATAGATCGTCGTGAGAGACAGCGAGAGAGAGAGAGAGAGAGTGAGTGAGAGAGAGCGCGTGAGAAACCGAGAGAACTCTCGCTACTCCTGCCTTTCAGCAACGACGCCTTCGTGGCGGTGGCCTGTGAGGATGAGACACTTCGAATATTCGGGACTGTCAGTTGCCAAGAATTACACGAATTGAGCGGCCATGAGAGCAAGGTGGGGCGATAATTTACTTATGGAATCCCATTTTCCAGGTGAACGCGCTGGCATGCGCGAATGATGACTGTCAACTGTATGCGGCCACCAAGTCCAAGATTTATTGCTATGATCTGCATACGGGGGTCATTGTGGATGTGCTGGATTGTGAGGAGAAGTCGCCAGTCACGTCACTGAAGGTATGGGAGGGGAGGGAACTGGCTGAGATTCTTAGGGAGCAGGAGAGGGGTCAAGAGAGGACGAGAGGGAGGAGAAGGCAGAGAGTGAGATAAGAGAGTGAGAGACCGGAATAGGCGAGAGGAAGCGAGAGAGAGAGAGAGAGAGAGAGAGAGAGAGAGAGAGAGAGAGAGAGGGACCCAAAAACAAACACATTAAAAAGAGGAAGAGGGGAGAGAGAGAGGAGAGGAGGGGGGGGGAGAGAGATCATAAGTTCTTTTTTAGCGGCATCGAGCAAGCTAGCAGAAAGCATTTGAAACACTTCCCGGTCCCTTTAAGACCCCAGACCTTTTCAGATCACCTCCGACAACTATTTCCTTGTATCCGGATGCGGGGTGGCCGTATCGGTGTGGAATGTGAGGGAAAGGATCCATGATGGGGTCGACTCGAGGCAGGCTGATAAAGAGGGATACGTGACGGCCATTGCGATGAGCAGCGATGAAAAGGTTGGCTTTATCGGTATACAGAGCTAGAGAGAGAGAGAGAGGGGGAAAGGGAGAAAATCGTTCTTAAAAACGCCGTTTCCAGATCTCGGCATGCGGCACCTACAATGGCATTGTGGCGTTGTGGGATATGGATATTTGCCAGTGCATTACTACGGTGGGTCTGAGAGAGAGAGAGAGAGGGAGAGAGAGATAAAAGAAAGACGGAGAGAGAGCACCAAAAACTTTAACAGTCCTTTTAAAACCCAAACTTTTCAGGTAAAAGTGCAAGCCGTCCAAGACCGTAGTCTCCCAATTTCCGCCCTCGCATTCACCATCGATTCCTCTTGCCTACTATCTGCCGATAATGTATCGTCCCGTATTCCCAATTCTATCCCACTTTTTAGGAGGGCAACATCGTGGTGCTCGACTCGAGCCACGGGATGGTGCTGCGTACATGCTACGTAGGGCGTAGAAGTTGTAATTTGTACACGGATGTGTTTAGTACCATACGACGGAGGTTGTGACGATGTGTTGCTTAGAGAGTGGGAGGACTGTCAGCTGCGATAAGGCCGGAAATTTGAAGGTAGGAGTTTCATAGGGATTAAAGGGATGGTTAGGGGCAAGTGTGGATTTTTTACGGAAATTGATTACTGTAATCATGATTTTTGCCTCAAAGCATCACTGCTAGTTTGCCCTGCAGCTAGTGGTCGCGCAGCAGGAAAGCCAGCGAGAGAGAGAGCGGGAGAGAGAGAGAGAGAGAGAGCGTGAGAGAGAAACGCGGCGAGAGAGAGTGAGTGGGTATGAGAGACAGGGAAGCATGGAGGCTGTTTTTCAAACCCGCTTGCGTTTGCTCTACACTTCTGGATTTTTGACTTCCCGAACCCTTTAAACCCCTTCGTCAACAGGTGTGGGACGTATTCGGCGAGGAGGGCGAAAGCGAAGAACTGTCCACGACCGGCATCATCCCACCCATCTACGTGCCCCCATCCGGGAAATTGATGCTGGGCAGCGTGCCGAGCACGAAGAAGGAGTTTGTGGCCTTTTGAAAGCAGATTATCTCGTTCAGGATGAAGATCTGGAGCTTTGGCGAGAATTCGGTGACGTTGAAGAATCGGTTGTCGCATAATGAGGAGGTTACATGCTTCTGTGCGGCGCCGATGGGGACGTTGGTCGTCACCGGGAGCACCGATCAATCCCTGAAACTGTGGCAGATTGACTGCGGGTTCTTGACACAGGTCGGGTTTAGCTAGGTTTGAGGATGGCGGCAAAGTCGACAAAACCTACCTTGAACTGCTTCAGGTTCTCGTTGGTCATGAAGACGTTGTGACGTGTTGTGCGATATCGGACGATGAGCACGTTGTCGTTTCGGGTGAGTTGTGAGGGAAAAGTGAGAGAGTGAGAGAGAGAGAGAGAGAGAGAGAGAGAGAGAGAAAGACGAAAGGAAGGGCATCTGAATCGGTTAGCCTAAACCTAAGCTTCAACCTAAGCCTAAGCCTAAGCCTAACGCAATCCTAAACCCAAGCCTTAAAATTAAGCCTAACCCTAGGTCTAAGCCTGGACCCAGCCTAACCCACCATTTCCAGGTGCTCGCGACCATAAGGTGATCTTTTGGTCAGTGATTACGGGTGATGCGATGCGTACAGTGCTGACGTGTAGCCCAGTCACTGCAGTGGCCGTCACCGCCGATGCGTCGGTCGCTTTTTCGGGTTTGTCAGCGGTCTTCTATCGACGACGCGTCATTTTTTTCAGCTGATGAAGCCGGCTGGATCGAGGCTTGGTTCGTCGACAAGGGGACGCTGTTGTCGTCGTTTGATGCACATCGGCCAATCAAGTGAGTTAGGAATGGGTACGCGTTGCGGTCGCGTTGCACTCCGCCATACAGTAGCGTTGCGGCCCGGAAGGACTGAATTACCAAACACCAATCCACTTTAGAAGCCTGATCCGCTCGTTCGACGCAAATCGCCTAATCGCCCACCTGGCCAACTGTGCCCAGCTGCCAATCCTCTGCCTTCACAACACCCCCGCCGGACCTCATCTGGCCAAGGAACGGCGGAGAAGCGCCCGCGCACACTCCATCAGCAGTGTCGGGAGTGAGCATTTACGTCTCTTTGAAAATGACCATTTTAGGCAATATGAGCGAGTCGAAGAAGGACTCGATGGCCAACATTCCCATACCGACATCTGGCAATGGGGCAACCACACCAAAACCCGTACCCCCAAGGCCCACCTTTGATAAGATGGAAAGGTGGGTAGTTGAAGAGATCACTCTCTCGCTCGCTCGCTCACTCATTCTATCTCGATGTGTCTCTCTCTCGCTCTCCCTCCCACTTATTAACTCCATCTTAATTTCTCTCACTTTCTCGCTCTGTCTCAATCTCTCTCACGTTCGCTCTCTCTCTCTCTCTCTCTCTCTCTCTCTCTCGCTCTTCTGAATATACCTCCCGCTTTCACTCCCGCTCTCTCTGCCTTTTCTCTCTTTCTCTATTTCTCTCTCGCTCTCTCACCCTCTCTCTCTCTCGTTCTATCCCTCTCGCTTTCTCTCTCTCTCTTTCTTTCTCTCGCTCCGTGTCACTCTCACTCTCTTTCTCCTCTCGCTTTAAATCACCGGGAAGCTTAGCAGAAATTCCTGAAGGAAATAGAATAGTGTTTCCATAAGCCGATTTCAGGTCGAAATCGCGGAGTTCGTTGATAGAAAAAGACCGGAACACCACGCTAACCACTCAAGTGGCCGTCCCCGCCCAAAAATCGAGCACCTGTGTTCTGTTGTGACGGAGCCGACAATGAGAAAGAGAAAGAGAAAGCGGCTCAATAATAAAGATTCTATACATTGATGTCGACGATATACAAATGACACTACTAAAATACACAACTACAAACTACAACACTTTAGATTACCCTAGATTGCTTGTAATTTATACCCATTTTTGCCGTTGTTTTTGTCAATTTCAACCCTTTAACTTGTGTCTAGCACCTGCTAATCATACATATATAGCGTAAATTATTCTATTTTTATAACATTTAATTTGCAGAAACGCATAATTATGTCTAACAAA